CTAATCAATAGTTAAAGGGAAAAAGGCGACAATCTAAACAATAGATTTAGATTTTATATGGTATATTCTAATGTATAGTTTTCGAAAAGCGATGCTCATTTCTGTGTTATCCTTTAGATAATTATCATTATTATTTTCGATGAAATTAGGAAAAAAAACCCAAATTTTTCGTATGCTGCTGTCTGTTTTGGCCGATTAACTTAAATATAGCAGTAAAGTAACTGGATGAGCATCACTTTTGAGAAAGTATAGATACATAGGGACAACCAAAAAAATTTTACGGTAAATTTTTTGCTTGCCTTGCCCCTTGGAACTTTTGGTTATATTTGACATTCCTTCTTTTGACCTAAAATCGGAGTCCACCTGACTTTAGAGTGTCACGTGATGACAAAAATACGATGTGAAAAGCGATGTGATTTTAAAAATAACATTAAGCTATTTTAACTAAAATGTCTTGCTAAAAAATAAAGCAGTTTAACATTAAGTGTTTTAAGCGGTGACACTTATAAAAACTGTTGTCTTGACTGTACTATGGAGGTATTAGACATTGAAAAAATAAACTTTGAAATAATTTCCTTGACCAATTCAGATGATCAATTGTTTTTGAAATTTCAAAAGTCGGCGACTTTTTAAGATAACTGTCATGAATGTATATAATCGAAATATCTGAGGCAGAAATACAAAAGATACGAAAAAAAAAGAAAAATTCGTGTTTTTCCAACAAAATCACGTAAGCTACAATAGTATTTTTTTTTCAAGACAAATTTTGAGGTGTCCTTCTAAAAAATCGAGATTGTAAACATAAGTTTTTTTTTTAATCGGAAAACAATCATAAATAAATTAGTAAATATTAATTCAAGTAAAATTATCAAAATCTTTATTTTGGATATTATTAAACTAGACTTTTTAATTTCGACAAACATTTATGTACTCGTATATGGTTATATGTTATGAAATTCCTATAATTCTCTGTTATGCATGATAAAATGCAATTCTACATTTCGTCTTGATTGTTACATAGTTTCAACCATATTCAACTGCAAGCAGTTGATTATATCTTATCTAACCTTTGTGTTATGGTTGTTAAAAATGACTGTTAAAATCCTCAAAATCATTGTGTAATATCTGCACACGATGGTATAATTTCATAGGCTCCCAGTAACCTTCTCAGTATTTCAGAAAAATACATTCCATTTGAATAAAAATCTCAATTTGATTGTTCAAATTTCTCTACACCACTCTGCAAAAATAAATTATTAGCGTGTATGGTCATAGGTTTAATTAGTAATTCGTGTACCTATTGGCATCCATTAAAGTAAAATGAATAATAAAATGTAAAGTAAAAGTTTGAAATTAATATAAGACCGCTGAACATTAACTGGCAAAATTGGAAATATACAGCTTATGTCCTTTCTATCTGTTACAATCAAAATATTCAGTGATAGACAACGAAATGGGCTGGTACAATTCGACGCGGACTTTTGGAAAACATGGGATTGAAATTGCAGATCGAAATTCATTTTCAATCCACCTGAGCTGTTTTCAAAGCAAAGAGTGAATGTATGATCCAAAAAATCAACTATAATTCAACTCCCAAATACATATTGTTTGAAGTTCACATTAATATGAGCTTTAGCTTATAATTTTAAGAACTCGAAAGATCATACAAAACAATTATTTTTCAGGAGATATTTGATTCTAGAAGGGGGGGGGTAAAAAATTGTCGAGTCAGGTCATGGCTTAACATGACAGTATATTTTATTTTTAGGATTATAAGAGTGCATGGGATTTATACTTATTCTCACTGAAAACTGTTGGACAACTTTATTTTAAAATCGTCTTACCCCCCCCCCCCCCCACACACACACACACCAACACAAAGATATACAGTATAATTTGTCCAAACCGGCTACCGCCGGTTCCATAAAATTTGGCCGGTTTAGACAGAATCCGGAGTGCAGGAAAAATGCAGGAAAATATTAATTTTGAAATTTTCATTGTTTATTTACAAGTATATCATATACATCATATAAAATATATTAATTAAATGATAAAATCAATCAATATTCTGGAGTCTAGAAATTATAAAATATTCTCGCATGACTTACTGTATTTTTCTGTTTGTTCACAAAGTTTGAAAGTCGGGTGAAATGCTATCTTATAAAATCAAAATCTACAGGCACGCATAATATAGGCTTTCTATATATGTCAAGCGGACCGGGTTTCGCTTGTCAAAGAGCCCATTTAATGTATGCACAGTAATGCACAAATATTTACGACGTGCTAATTATTGGATTGGACTTTTAATTTTCATGTGAAAAATTACGTCTTCCCCCGCAGTGTTATGGCGCCATTTTCAAATGCGTTCGATTTTCAATCCCGATTTATATTTTGATTCGTAAATCGCGTGCATCTATTTTTCGTGTTTATGTAATAATGTGGTAAAAGGAGTTATACCAAATTGTAATTTAATCATATAAGCCTAATATTTGTTTTTCAAGTGGGCAGTGTCACCGCCGCATTTCAATGAGTTCGTCTCATCGCACTTATCATGTTAATGTAAACACGGATTATCACATCCACCACGAAAGGTGTTAATTGATTTGAAGTTACTCAGGTTATTATGTGTGGCCGGATTAAAGGAAATAATGAATTTGTTAAAGAAGTGCATGGGTCTAAACTTTTTAAGACGGAATGGACAAAGATCCGGAGTACTCAGAGTCCGGATTAGACAAATTTTACTGTACATATATTTACCAAACAAAAATGAAATATTTGTCCTTTATATATTTATTCATTTAAAACACTGGACAAAAAAAATCAAACTGTACCAAAATTGAAATTATTTGTCTTCTGGATCAATCAGTAATAATGTGCCTTCTAACGTAGCCGAGGTGGATTGAAAATGATATGCAATTTCAATCCCATGTTTTCCAAACGTCCGCGTCGAATTGTACCCGCCCATTTCATTGACTATCACTGAATGTTTTGATTGTAACAGATGGAAATGACGTAAGCTGTATATTTCCAATTGTGCCAGTTTATATTCCGCGATCTTAAATATTAGTAGGATAATTATAAAGAAAGAGAAAAAATGTTAATGTTTCTTATCAAAATAATTAAATGTTACATGTACATGAAATGAATGAATTGGAGGAAAAATTAATCCACTTGAAACACCTTTCTATTTTAAAGATAGTGAGTCTATCTCCTGAAGCATAATATCCTCTGTACCATCTTTAGCATCCTTCTTCTCTTGTCTTCTTTCTATTATTTAAAATAAACTCAAAATGATTCCGTACACTTGTTACAATTAAAAATTAAAATGCATGATTTTCTATATATATTCATTTTTTTGTATAATTTAAAGTGTTCAAAACATATACATTATCAATAAATGTAATTGTTTTCAAATTTGGAATTCTCACTTTTTCGTCTGTTTTAAACCAATTTATTTCAAAACAAAGTTAGCAAAGAGAATAAATATAGTATTCAGAAGCAAGGTCGTCTTATTTTCTGTTGGATACTACATGTTACTACAGTTATTAGCACTTAGATATTTGTTTCTATTATTACAAAGAAGCAGATTAAAAAAACAATACGAAAAGAAAGCTTGTTTTTATCAGATGAACATCGATTATCTTATGACAGAAGTTACTGCTGCAGCAACAGTGATTCAAAACATATGAACATGTATATCACACTGGACTAGAAATAAGACTCCAAGGAAACTGATACATCTGTGTAACTATGGTATATTAATGTAGCCAACATGTACACGTATGCATTGATCACCTGCATGTGGGATTATTTTTTCCAATTGAAAATGTTCTACACAAAAGCATTACGATCTCCCCACATTATAAATTAGATTGATTGATTGTTTATTGTTTAACGTCCCTCTTGAGAATTTTTCACTCATATGGAGACGTCACCGTATGCCGGTGAAGGGCTTCAAATTTAGACCCATACTCGGCACTCAGGACCACTGAGCAGTAAGGGTTGGTTTCATGCCAGCGCCTACCGTGATACGGGACTTACGTTTTAAGGTCATATCCGAAAGACCCGTAACTTTAACTTCTGATGCCGAGCGCTTGGCGAAGGATCAGTCGCTACCTATTTTTACGTCTAAGGTTTGACGCAGCGCCAGAACGAGAATCGGACCAGGGCCTCTCGATCACGAAGGATTATACAATAGTTAACAGTTATGAAGAACGCAGTTAGGATAACGCTGTCGGAGGGCTTAAAAAACCTAAAAAAAAATATACTTTTTATTTTGAGCTAGATTTTAAGTAAATATGTAATCCTTGTTTGAAATTGCAGTCAACTTGAGATAATGGTTAAATCAGGATTTATTTTAAAGCATTTTTGTGATGTCACATGACTGTGTTGATCATGTGACGTAGATATTCCTGATTGTGCTAAAAATTGCTTCGGCACAAGTGCAAAGCAAAAAATACTGTGCAAAATTTGTTACATAAATCAATTAATCCTGATCTCTTGGACATAGAAAGTGCTGGGGGTAGGTTTCATTTTTACTCGTTAAGAAAATATTTTACGAGTAGTTCAACTTACCAACATAAGAAAGGGTATTTTCCACTCTTAATCGCGATTTATAAAAAAAAAATGGATAAACTACACACCATTCCCCAGCAAAATTCAGCTAGAGGACATACTTCTCTTGTAGATTCACACAGATTTTCAAATTGTCCTTGTTTATCACTTGTGCCAGTCCAATATAAACACGATTCATAAATTCTATCTCTGTCTACTGACGTATAAGGGGAGCGTTTCACACATAATTTTTCGTTATTGTTTGATTATTTGCATATCGGACAAGTGAAACGAATAAGGATATTTAAATTTTAAATGTTCAACATCATAATAGCCAATTCGAGATTGAAAAACAATCCTGACTCTTGAATTGAACAACAAGTCATTACAATCATCAAGAAGCAATCAAAAGTCAGCTACAATTTGAAAAAAAGTGAAAATGAAACCTGTATATAATCCAATTTCTTGATGGAAAATGATTCATTTAGCTGAATTTGGGTGGATTATTTTCACTTAAAGTAAAGTTAAACGTTATTTAGTGGTTCTTTAAATTTCTTTTTAAAAAGATTTTTAGAAGTTAAAAATTGACATTAAATATGATAGAGAATATTTAAAATACGTCCCGCACCTTTGTATTTTTTCCAGCGCCTGTTGTGGTGAATAGGGATTATACGGTAGTTTAAATAAAGAATGCATTTTCCCTGTCTAGAATGAATATGGAAATGAATTTCTTAAATAAAAGGAAAAGGATGAAAAACGTAAATAATTCTTAAAATAAAAAAAAGTTACAATTATGAGAGAGAAAATTTCATCAAAGTTCTGTTTTAAAGAATGCTATGCATAAGAAATATTATTATGTTATAAAATGTATGCAGGGTGCTTATTATGCTCTTATAGAAAAAAAAAATCATGAATAAAATTTGCTATGGATAGCTACATGTATATACTTACTGTTTCTCTTGTTCTTTTTGTATCTACATATGATGTAGATCAGTGCAAATGTCACGGCCACAACAAACAATACGACAACGATGATTATAATTATCCAAATAGGAAAACTGCTAGTTTTCTTTTCACTTACTTTGCAGTGGTCATTTCTGAAATTAGAAGTGATTGTAAAGTGATAAAATCTTTAATGAAATTAATATAGCATGTGTATCCCAAGATTCTTTTTACAATGATTAAGGCATGATATATCTTTGTATTTTACGTAATATTTAACATTCCAGGTTTCAATGGCATATATAAAAAAAATGAAAAAAAAATTCCAGTAGATGATAACTTTTCATTCTATGTTTTTCATCTCAACGTTACTTGTGAAAAAGGTTTCTATTCTGTGAATGAAGCAGAGTGAAACTTTACTAGAAATGGAATTTTACATTTTACTGTTTAATGATTAAATCACCGCCAGTGGAGGCCTAATGAATTGCAGTAAGAAATTAAGGTACGAATTGCTGTTTACCAATAAAGCTTGATGCCAAAAACAAGTTGCCGTGCTGTAAAAATTAGTGATTGGAACTTAGTGTATTTAGCATTGACATATATAAACAAGTATATTATTGTACTCCCTGCAAAGTTTTTTCTCTTGTATTATTTTCTTGCTATCTTTTACGACTAAATCAGAAGCTAGAAAATATTATCACAAGTCACAAATAAGCCCGTGTTTTTGACTTTTTACCACTTTCACTCCCTGACATCAAACGTTTTGTGGTTGAGTAGTTTTGAACATCCATTTTTGTGCACGATAATAAAATTCACCTCTGACCACTTGTAAGGATTTTCAGCTGCATATATCATGTATATATTTAATATTATATGTTCTCGTGCGTTTTACCTTTCAGTATACATATATAATGCACAGATGACAAGAGGGAGCTTTAAGATATAACGAACATTGAAAAATCTACAAAAATAAAAATTTGTGAGCAGGACAAAATACACGATTCCCTGGGATTTTAGAGGGGCGGGAAGAAGTGCCTAAAAGGAATATCAATATATATAATTATATTGTTGAAAGCTGAACACATCTAATAAATAGGCACCGTCAGACGGGTATATAAGCCTTCGAATTCGTTACACCCGATTGCACACTCGAAACTCGTGGCTTACATGTAGTATTTCTTTCGTGGTCTTATATGTTTTTTTGCATTTATATTCCTAGTTTTTATGTTCATTTTCTGTTTGTAAATAATAAATTGACCTCTAATTTTCATCGTAATACGAAAAACCTTTAACTGCTAAGATATAGGCTACTTATATAAGGGTTGTAGGGGTTGTAGATGAACGGGAAATATGGCGGATTATGCCTTTTTACGAGTAGTGTTCTGCTTGAACTATCAGTTCTTGCTTTTTTGAATTAATAAAACTCTATGCTTCCCTTAGTTTGCTGTCCTATTTTATAGCATTTGTTCTCCAGTCCTTCATTCATGTGTCTTTTTTCAACTCCTTTTATTTCTCTATTTTGAAAAAAAAAGATATGACAGTTTTAATGTAATAGTAGTTATAATAATTTTTTTTCTTGCTTCTATTTTTGGTATACAGTTTCCTTCTTGAGTGAATTGATTTGCACTCCTCTAGAATTCGATACTTTATGGTCTGATTGCTTCATTATTTCAAATGATAGTTGATCTACTAGATTTTACTTTTTAAAGCATTTTTTTTCCCTTTTTGACACTTTTTTTCAAAATTCCTTTTTTACATTTCTTAATAAACTATAATCTCCTTTTAGGTTGACAGTTTTTATCCCTATGTTTGCTTATTTAAGATAGCTTTAATAGAGAATACTTTTTCATAAAGTTTCTTATTTCTTTCCTGTCATTATGATCGCCATCTTTGTATTTAATCTACTTCTAGAGTTTTATGAAGAGACTTACTTTTACATTCGACAGCTGACTTTTACATTCTAGTAATTGGAGTTTGTCTATGTTTAAATTGTAAAAGTCAGTCGTCGATTGTAAAAGTAAGTCTCTTCATAAAACTCCTCTATTCCAACTTTCTCAGTTTCTTAGATTATTTTCACATTATTATTTTTACCCTTTTTCCACTGAATAAGGGCAAAATTTTTTTTTTATTGTTATTTTCGTCGTGCATAGAATAGCACCCGTTTCTTCATTTCTGACCAAGAAGTGGATTTTTTTAAAAGAAATTTCTCCACCTATTTATCTGTTTTTCTTTAATATTCCATCCTTGAAGGGGCATATATTTTATTCAGGAATGAAAGTAAGTAAATTTGAAGATACCTAAAAGATTTGAAGATAAGGTTCTCAAAACAAATTAACAAGTTGATTCATTGTTTATTGACATGTAGAAGACGGGCACACATTGGTCAAAACAACATCTTTGAAGCCTTGTCAAAGAGAAGCAAAGCGAAGCTTAATCTCAGCAGAAAGAAATACCGCTAGGTAATCAGGGTCTTTTTTAAGATCTTACTTAGTTTTTGTATATAATCCAGTGGAATTATTCACCAATTTAAAGCATTGGCTATCTATTGAAAGGATAATATACATCTTTTCAATACGAAGACATATAAATATGAATAAAAATATATTAAAGGAGGGTATGAAGAAACAGTTATGTGATGCTATTCCATGGAATCATTTATGTTAATGATATTTACGATATATGTTTTAAAAAAACTGATTATATATGTATTTTGTAAAAGCGTAGGTACAGGTATGTTGGGGGGGGGGGGGTCCTACATTTATACGACTCTGTTGAATTATAAATTGATGGACAGGGGTTATCAGAATAGGTACAGTTTTGTTTATAGGTGATCCCAATGCCATGGAATCTTTCCTCAAATATAGCACACCGCCCATCTGTAAAAAAATATGGTATACTTATATTTTATTAAATTTGAATTGTTAGCTATTTGAGCAGCTGTAATAAACATATATATTTGATGAGTACACTGTACATTAAATCATACACTTACATTGAATATACCGTTGAGGGGTACATACTTCAATTAATCCTGTCAAATTTTCATTCAAAATACAGTGATATTTCAGAGGTTTGCAATTTACGTAATTAAACTGGTGACATTTTTTCCGTCTCGCAGCCGCTTCAAACTCTTCTTTATTTTGTGGACATTCCGATACACTGCAAGTTGAATTAAGGGAGGCCCTGCAAGCCGTTTTCGACGTCTCAAAAGAACATTTTTGTTCAATGAAAAATGTTGATATTATTAAAATCTAAGGACAAATAAAAAATAAAATTATTATAGAAAGCAGCAATGCTTTTATGCATTTCTAACGATTTGTGTACCACATTTTTTTTTACAATCAATTAACTGCTTTGCCTTAATTTTCCGATGCATATTACCATGGTTCTGCTAGTTTGGGATGAGGTTAACATAGTAGAGGAATGCATCGATAAAAATGGAATAAAATCAGTGAATATGTTAAATATTTCTTAGATTTTTTTTTACTAAGAATTTGTTTATCAAAATTTATTTTATAATGCTCTTATTCTATCAAATTGTAGATCTGAGATACAGCTTGGAGATTTGAAGAGAGGGGTGTCAAACCCGAACTAAAATTTATGAATACCAGTTTATGCACAGCAAAACAAAACAAAGCAAAAACAAAAAAAAAACACGACATGTAAAATAGAAAATGAGATATTTAATAATGGAAGTCAAATAGCTTAAATTTTTTATGGCTTACATTTTTACTCTCTGTTTAAGATCTGAATTATTTCGCATAAAAAATATTTTAAAGTTGTGTTTACCTTCAGGAAATATGGCACAAAAGACAAATAGAACATCGTGAGTATTATTAACAATAGAAGTCCCTCTAGCTACTGCAAAAAATTAAAGTTACCTTCACCTCAAAAACAATTTACCAAGTTTATATTCAGAATTACTGATTACTCAATATGTCATTTCAGTATTGAAACTTTGAGGAAGCTATAAGTAACTTTAGTTTCCGCAAAGTTTCAGTAGTGTTCCGCTACTCGGAAACTGTTTTCTTTATCTAGTGTGTGGAAAGAAGATTGTGTGGTCTCTACCTTTGTTTAAACAAGGAAAAAAAACTAAAAATATTTCCTTCTCACTGATAAAAAATATGCTCATCACGAAATTTTACATGACTTGCAAACAAAATTTTCAATGTTATGTACATTACTTAGTTAATACATGTATAATGTTTTACTGAATCGCGCCAACTTTTGTAGCGGCACAGTCAAGTCTAGCGTAAAATTTAAAAAAAGAAATAAATACATAAGAAATACTTACACAGATTTTTTCTTCTTTTTGTTGATATATTTATTTAATTGTGAAGATTGTTGAGATATGATATATATCAACTGATCAAACTAATGATGTGTACGTTTTAGGAATCGATAAATATTAGTTTTATTGTTTCAAACTTTAAATCAGAAAGCGAATTTTATGTAAAGGATATTAATTAACCGATGTTGACATTTTCTCTTCATGGACATTATAAGAAGATTCCGAAGTAACACATTGGATAGCCTAAAGTGCAAGAAATAATACGATTGTTTATAGTGCGTTATGAATATCGGGATTTATTTCTATCTAGACATAAGATGACTTTAGGCACCGTAAGTAAAAGTAGAATTAAAGATTAAATGTGCGAAATGACTTTCATAGCATTAAATCATGTGAAATTTTCTTCATCAAAGATGCAGAGTGAGTGTAAGCAAACATAAATATTTACCTTTTTATCATATAGAAAGAAGGGTTTTATATCTTCAAAATTTGTTCGTTCAACGACCTCTAAACGATAAATAAAGGTGAATATCCCTTGTGCACAGAATTCAGAAATATGACTTCCTTATACGTTTTTCTGATCTGTCGGACAGAAATAAAAAAAATTGAGAATACCTTATAAATAAACCCTCGGTCATATTAGCAATTTGTTTTTCATAAGTGACATATTTCGTTACATATTATAGTAATATGCTGACACGCAAAAGAACCGCAACACCCTACTTTAGGGGAAAATAACTATGTAAAGTAAAGAATTTTGTATCTTTTAAATTATGGATATCTTCAATTGGCAATTTTACGGTGAACGATTTTCAAGTTTTTCAATCAAAAATTGCGTGTTTAAAAAATTATTTAGAAATCAAAAATTGCGTGTTTAAAAAATTATTTAGCAATATTATGGAGCTTTAAGGGTTTTGACTGTTAATCATAAGTAATGTAGTAATATTTCAAAAAATAAACTCTCCTTTCGTTTCCCGTAACGATGCTAAGGCTTCTTGAAAATGGCTTAAGTACGCATTTCCATTGCTCTGGCTGGAAAATTTCAAAGTAAAGCTGATGGAGAGTTCCTGATGCAAAAATTCACTACATTACATGTACACCTGAACACAGCCTAACGTATCATATGCATAAAGGACAATTCTTGTACCGGAAGTCCGAGGGTGGCTACACTGCTCTAAGTCAAGAAAATTCGACCTAATCATCTAAGAAACGGGTATTTAAAAATGGCAAAGAACAATTCCTTCGCTCAGATCTCGATATTGATGAACCTACTGTGTTGTAGAAATGAAGCTGCAATTGTTGTTTAGGACAGTCTTGCACGTTATACTTTAATGGCTGGGAGGGGGGGGGGTTTAAACAGTCATATGTTACTTAGTAAAATAAAAATATAAACATTTAACATTTTGTAATCAAATCTCTGATGTTCTGATAAGTGAGTTTAGCCTAACTGTATTCAATTTTGAAATTCATTAGATAAAAAAATCAAACGTTTGTAGATTACTGCTTGTTGCGTTTCTTTTGCGTGTCAGTATATAAATTTTAAAAATCTAGAAGTCAAAAAGCAACCATTCACTCTATTTCGGAAAAATAAAATAATAATAAAAATTGAATAATGGATATTATGATAAATCTTTGATTGGTGTTAATGCATATAAAATGTTGTTAAACAAAAATATGATGTAAATGCATTAAAAAAAACTAGCTATAAAAATAGTAAATTTATATTGATAATGCTCTAATTCTGCATATAAATGTACTTTATTGAATAACAGTTAATTTCCCTTGCATTTCACAAGAAAAAGCAATAGGAAGGAGCTGTCCTAAATTTGGTTCGAGTTGTCCTTAACAATGTCTTGGGACGAGTTATCCTGATTCCGATATAAACATTCTCTATTATGATGATCTGAAACTCCCATTGTCATACTGAACAATTTTTGATGCTAAATTATTTAATCTAAGCAATATTTTATTTACTGACTTTAAGGTGAAAGAAGGATATGAAGATAACAAATAAAATTTAATATCAAAGTCCATAAAACAGTACAAAATAGGAGCAGAGCAAACGCGGACCTCCAAAACATCAGAGGTGGGATCAGGTGCCATGGAGAAATTAGCATCCCATGGCGACCGGTCACAACAGCTTTGTGCTCTTTGAATAGGAAATTGGGAAGCATATTAAACATATTTCAGCCCTTCTCTGACTTTTGATACTTATATCTGATACAATTCTTCTTGCTTGTATTTTTACGATAGAATTTGCAATACCTACAACATTATTGTTTATATAGCATTTTACTGCTACAATGCATACTAACCTTAAATACAATCATTATCATGTTAAGAATGCCATTTCTTCTCTCCCACACAGATCCTTGAAAATTGTCATACTTAGACGATATCTCTGTGCATAGCAGCATTTAAGCTGAATACAACTCGTTTAATGTACATGTAAACTGGCAAACGCCATTCTTGATATTACTATCGACTAAATCAGTACTGGGGTATCTCTTTGTTACTTGTTAATCCTTTTTTATTGTCACTGGTATTGGCGTGGAATACCAATAATTCGTGTTCGTACTAATTCTATGCACTATCTAGGTGTGTGTTTTATTGTTGTGCATGAATTTTTGTTATTTTGTATACTGCACTTAACCTGTGCAACTATTGTAAGACCCTTTGGTACCTTACTTTTCTTGTATGAGAAGACGCAAGTAGTTATTGTTGTTGGTCCCCAGTGCTCTAAAGCACCGATGACGACTGATTAAACTGAACATTGACTAAATCAGCCGCCTTATAGAGGTCCTTATATTTTAAGAGTCTAATCGAATGTGGCGAGCAAATTTCTGTTCGTGTCAGGCACGTAGCATCGTTTTTGAAAGTGGGGGGGCCAACCTGAGAAATTTTTTTTTACTTACCTGAAAAAGTTGACAAGAAAAAAAAAAAAAAAAAAAACCAAACTTTAAAGTTGCCCAATCTCGAAAATCCTATTTCGTGGCGGGGGGGGGGGGGGGGGGGGGTAGTGGCCAACTTTTTCAAAGCCAACTTACTATCACTTCCAATTTTTTCCTTACAATCCTTGCTATCACTATATTATGGTTATAAGTGGGGGGGGGGGCAACCATCCTTTCAATGAACATTTTAAATAGTAAAGGTTATGTTGGGGAAAAAAGGGGGGGGGCCTGGCCCCCCCTGGCCCCCCTGATACTACGTCCCTGCGTGTTCAGCTTTAAACGGTAAAGATTGCACTAAATTTTCAGAACTACATGCTGTATACTGAAATACATACTGAAAAATTTGCCGAAAATGCCTATAATAGCTAAAAAATTCCACTTCGCTTAAATTCTGTTATAAATAAAAATAATTTTATGCAGACCAGGATCAGCCCCCAGCACTTTTCAAAATATACACTAAATAAGCAATAAACATTCCAAATTTCAGCTCAAACAAAATAGCTTATGCCCTTGCAATTTTGATGTTCATCACAGATACTTTCATCGTTTTAGCGAATATTCTCTACATTCCTTGTCCCTGTGCAGGTCCATTGCTACCAGATAAATTCTTATTCCATACACATTGTATTTAATAAATTATTTTCTTTTAGTTTCAATGATTAGGTTTAAAGATTAGCTATGGTATCATATTTATTTAAGCATTCTTGTAATTATTAAACCTGTGAATCTAGTCCTCTGGATCACCTGTGCTGCGTCAAATCAAGGCTTATGACGTCATATTTGACGAACGACTTTCTTCTAGTACTCGACTGTATTGCTATCAAGTATCACAATTTTACAAGATTTTATACATAATCGATAAAGTAAATAAATTCAAGTTGTTATTGACGCAAAATCATGTCGTTGATTAATTTTTGTGGCTTGTTAAATTTCAGTGACGTCACAATTAAAATTCCAATTCGGCGTAAAAGGAATGTGTACTCTGACCTTCCCTAACATAGCAGAGTATAACCAAATATTTTTCTCGTTAAGCGGATATAATTTCGTAGTAAGTTACGAGTAGGTATTGCTATCTTTATCTGTAAAGATTGAAAATCTTCATTTTCATTCTTCATATACACTGCACGTTTGTACAATACATCTGATCACCATTTAAATGTAGAGTAATCGTCATGTAGCAGTGTGCCATCGCTCCCCCGAGTTTAAAGCTGATCCCGTTCTGGTATATGGTGTTATCCTGCATTTAAGAAGGACATCTACCAACTTATGCTCAAAGGAGTGCGGCTTCTCATCGACTTCCTAGCATTTAATTGCCTAACTTAGCAAATTCAGTAGACCAGGGATGGTTAGGTGCCAGTGCATGCTTAATTCCGTTCAATCGTGCAAACTACTTGCATTTACCTGATGTAAACTGCGTCCCGTAATCAATCAATATCCATTCAGTTAGTCCTGTCTACGCAAACCGTAATCTCGGCTGTCAGTTGTCATTGAGCGTGTCATGTGTCTTAATTGGCCCTTTGTAATCTGCATGGCCAATGTCCTATATTCTCTAAAATGGTCTAAAAGCCAAAATCAAGGGATGTAATTGTGCTGATTTTGTGCTGTATCTTTCGGACATATATGATGGACTTTTCTCGACACTTCCTAGCACATCTGTTTCATACTTGGCTATTTTACTTGAAAAAGACGTTATTGGTAATCTAACAACCAAGCTATATGATAAACGTGATGACTTTAACTTTCTATCGTCAACTTCCCTTACTTATGCAGCAATATCAGGCACGTAGCATCGTTTTTGACAGTGGGGGGCCAACCTGAGAAAATTTTTTATACTTACTTAAGGGGGGACCTATGTCGTTCTACGTCAAGGCAGCGTTATGTGACGTCACAATAGCGACGTTTGATTTTACCTGTTGACTTTTGCAACTGTGATATACGCATAACATTGTTGGTAATCAATTACGTACAAAAGCATTAATCACAGTTTATTTGATTTATGGAGTTTGTTAATATTAGAATTCTCTTCCTTTGGTTAATAATTCATAGCAATTTCTGTTGTGAAAAATACCCCGATAATATGCTGATATAATAGTGCAATAAAGAGGTAAAATTCAAGAAAGAAAGCGGCTTAAATCAGGGGGAAATGTTTAATTTTATAATTACCATTAATCGATTTTCTAGAGAAAACTAAGAAAAAAAATAATTAAGAAATGTACTTGTACGGGTGTATATATGCTTATTGATTTATATAGTACATGTAGATTTTATTGTATAAAGTCATTCCTTGGTTCTAATAGGCATTGGTTGTTGACGGGGAAATGGGGGGGGGGGGGGGGAAGAAACAGAATGAATGGAATGTAGAAAAAAATTTATCTATTTAAATTGTTTCTAATCAAAACAAAATACTCGTTTTCCGCAAAATAGTTTTATATTCAGATGTTTGACAGTGCTAACTTACCCTTTTTTAGTGCAGAAAGGTCAATATTTTTGACAAAAGAGTACGAAAATAAAAGAAAATGTTATATTTCTCGTTTATTTTATCATAAAGGTATACTTTTTTCTTTGTTGAAATA